AGAGTGCCAGATCCCATTTGAAGGCTCTGGCTCGCGATAGGATTGCGGGCGCGGTGAGAAGGAGGATGTGCTCGGCCTCGAGGAGGAGGAGGCGCTGAGAGCTGGCGATGCGGGGCCGGGCTAGGCGGCGCAGTAGCGGCCCCCGGACGTGCCGTTGAGTGTGCCATTGAGTGTGCCATTGACCGGAGGCGGGAACGTGACCTTGCCTTTTACCTTGGTAGACCGAGGCGACGTATCTTCAGCCATGGGAGCCATGGTAGGCAGCGTCGCGACAAGGGCTGACAGTCCTCACGTTGTCGCGGGTCGTAGCTGGCGGCAATGTCGCGGAGGTGTGTGCCTGGTCTCGTAACCAGGGGAGGCGATACGAGGTAGGTTCACAAGTAGGCGTGTTTTATTGATCAAACATCTAGAACAAGACAAGAACTCGAGGATTCGAGGGACTGGATGAACCACACACCCATGGGAGAGCAGGGACAAGACTAGGTTTATTATAATGGCTGGTGGACACGGACATGGTAGGTGAAGACGATGGGGCATATGAATGCGGATGCAAATGAATGGAGGAGACGGGGTCTGGGAACGAGCGATGGATGGACTGGCGCGCCGGCGCACAAGGCAAGGCCCGGCCGGGGGAGGGGAGGGGTCCGAATCGAGGTAAGGGGGCCATGTGAAAAGAGAAGGCAACGGATTTGCTGCCTTTGCTTTCGTTCTTCGCTCCCGTGCGGACTGCAGATGGCGTCGGGTCAGATGCAGTCCAGCCAATGCTAGACAGGGTTCAGGAGGGCTGAGGCCCGAGGATGATGACAGGGGGGGCGGTCAGGGTGGGCAGGATTGGGGTCTATTGAATGGTGAGAAGCCGAGGCGGAGGGGGCCAGCTAGAGACTAGGGCGAACGGTAGACAGGCCGGAGGATGTGATGAGACGGGCAGAAATAGCTTTCTCTCCCTAGGTCGTTCGGTCGTGCCCTCACAAGCAGATGCTGACTGACTGACTGACTGATTGTCAGTACATGTACGTCTCCGTCAGTCAGCACGTCGCGAATGCGTGCAAGCATGATGATGCAATATGATACCGCCTCTTGTTCGAGCAAGGGGGCCCATGGAGACGAGGACGAGCAATGAAAAGACAGGTTCGCCATGATGGCTGACGGCGACCAGCCTTGCTGGCCGGGCTGAGCACTCCATTTGTTGCGACGAGAGGGCAACGATCAACGAGACGCAAGATGACAGGAGACGGAAGGAGAGCGGCTGAGAGAGATGCTAAGCCAGAGACGTTGGGGGCGTGAGGGTCGAACACTGGCGAACCACGTGCGATTGGCGGTTGGTGATGTGCGCTGGTGGAGAAGCAGAGACGAAGGACAGGGGGGCCGCCTGGGATGGAGTCAACAAGGCTATTTCGTCTCGTTGCTTCTTCATTCTTGGTGACGACTCCATTCATCATCCAGAAGAAGAGCTTTGCTTGATTTGCCGAGATGCGATCAGTCATGGCCATGATGAGTTGCAAGGCGAAGGGCGGCGGAGCCGAACGCAACGGGAAATCCGAAGGAACGGTTCGGTGAGGACGGCAGGAGAAGGAATTTTGTCCATCGGCACAGCACGCAGTTCGGAACAGAGTCTGACAAGGCTGCCAGGCAGCCAAGCGGGATATTCAGTGTGTGTATGCATGTCTTGGCCGAGCCATCTCGAGGCGGAATGCTTGCGGCATGATCTGATGGTTGCGTCTCAAGTGATGCTGCCTCGGACAATGTGGTCAGTAGCAGTGGCAGTGGTAGTGGTAGAGGCAGAGGCGGTCGCACAGGAAGCCGGTGAGTTCTTTTTTAGCCAACTGTGGCCCGAAAAGGGAGATGCGAAAGAGACGAGAGGGATGGAGGCTGGCTGAAGACAAACCAATTAGGCCCAGTCGAGAAGGGTGGTTGCCAGCCTTGACTCTGGCCGAGTCCAGTGCCCCAGTGCCCCAGCGTTCCCAGCGTGCGTGCTCAGCGTTTCCCAGCATTGGACCCCTGGGTCGCTCGCTTATTTCGTTAGCTTCCTCGCAGCGTCCCCTGGCGCCCGGCCACAGCCACAACACGCCAGTCGCAACTCCCGTAGGCAGGTCTCTGATTGGTCGCTGAACGATCCTTCCTGCCTCTGGCTCTTCTCATCCTTTCGCTGCGGGCAGTCATCGCCAACCCAGAGATGCCTGCCTGCCCGCCTGCCTGCCTGCCCTTCACCTACCCTGGCTCTGCCGAGACTGGCCTCCTTCCGAGATGCTTATCTCTTGGCTGCTAGGCACCAAGAGGTAAGATGCCCACATACGAATTCGCAGAGCCCCCCTTGTGAGTAAGACCGCTACCCGTTTCTGACAGCCATCACTTGAGCACTCGCCTAGGTGGTATCACTGCCGACCTTGTTCAAGCCGTCGAATTGCCAAAATGAAGAGGTGCCGGCCTCCCCCGAACACCTGGGCACGCCGCACCACACCCTTGCCCTTCCTCCTCTTTCTCCCCCTTTCCGAAGGA